CTTTTCAGCAGCGATTTTCATAGCACTCTATTCTTCCATTACAGTAGAACTTCATTTCAACGACACTATTCGAAGTTGAATATTGAAGATTTCAACGACATTATTCGAATATTTGAAATTGGAACTGCTTCTAACAAAGGCGTGAAAATACTTTCGTGTTAATAACTCAGTCGTGCGATGATAACACTTTAATCGATTATCGACATCGTAAACCTTAATATATATAGTATTACCTAATTGGTGGGGATTATTTTGCTGCGGCTGCGGCTGCGCCATGATCTACGTCACTGGCACTTTGGGGAGGCCGCTCTGGCTAACTCTATTTTTAGATAATATAGATTTTTATATTTTTTGTTCAAAAAGAAGAGAGTAGCTTATTTTTGGAGTAGCTTATTTTCAGGAATCTATAGTATATAGTCATAATACAAAACTACTAATAAAAAAAATATAAAAATTTATTATAATAAAAATATATTATTTTAAAAAGCTCTCTTGAAAAGATCTTTTAAAATAAAAGATATACTATTAAAACAACAAGAAAAAGCTTTAGAAAATATAAAAGAAGTATAAAAAGTTCAAAAAAAATATTATAACAAGTTAAAAGTTAGTAACAAAGTTCTAGTTATCAAATCTTTTTTTAAAAATATTTTTTCTACTAAACTAAAAAAACAATTTATATACTCTTATATAATCTAGAATATACTAGATCTTGAAGTTTATAAACTATAAATATTAGATAGCAAAAAAGTTAAAAATTAAGTTCATAATAACTATTTAAACTTTATTATAAAAAAGAAATTAAAAATCTTTCTAACTCTCAAATTATTATTATACAAAATAATAATATACAAACAAAGATTATGTAATTCTAACTTTTATAAATATACTTTTTGTTTTATTATTTTTTTCAAAATTTTTAAACTTTAAAAATCCTTTAAAAATTAATTTAAAAATTTTTTATTTTATACTTTAATATTATATAGTTCTTTTTATTTCTTTCTATTATTTATTAGATAAATTTTATTTAATTACAAAATACAAGAATTAAATAAATCTTTCTTAATAAATTTTCTACCAAAGTATTGCAAAAATTACAACAATTTCTAAGTAAATAGAAGCAAGAAACATATAATAATTAACACCTAATATATCAAAAGCATATAATACTATTAATTTTTTACTCTTATATCTAGTATTTAAAAAGATCAATCTACTAAACAAAATCACTAACATAATAAGCAACCTTTTTTTAACTAACAAAATCAAGTTCTAATAACAATTGGCAAAACAAATCTCTACTATGTTGAAGATAAAATTAACCAAGAAGTAATCTTCTTCCTACTATAGTATATATACTATAATTTATTAATCTACAAAATAACAATGGAAATTCTATATTAATAATAATACCTAACAGATTTATCTACTACTTACAAATCACTATTATTGCTTATATAAATAATATTATCTGAATTGCTTCTAACTATTTATAACTTAAATAAACTCTAAATATAGTTCTATCATTCTATAAATTTATAAGCATTACTATAAACTCAACAAAAACTAGTTTAATATATAATAATACTGGGAATACTACTCTAGTAATATTTCATAATATACAAATATACAATATAACTCTTCAACAAATACTTAGATTTTTTGAACTATATTTTAGTATAAATGCATACAAAAAACCTATAATTAAAACAATTATACAAGAAATAAATAAGGATTTTAAAAAACTAACTTTGTCTAAAATTACAAATAAACAAGCAATTTATATAATAAATATAGTATTACTTACTTGACTAAGATTTAGAATCCAAAATATCAAAATTTTCTATCAATATATAGAAAAATTTAAAGAAGCTACACAGACATAGTTAAACAAAAAGCCAATCTTGCAAGAGTAGTTCCAAACTTAATACTATTTTATCCAAACATATATACTTTACAAATACTATTGATCTACAACAAAAATTACAAATGCAAATTCTAGATACTATTTTCTATACACTGGTTT